CATTATGCAAGAAAGCATCTGAAGAAGTACAGTACGCAACCTATTGACCCTCATCAAGAGCAGCTACCTTAAAATATTTCATGGCCTTAGAAAAGAGATCACGCACACACCCCTCAGTATGCAGGAAATGCATAAAAAATAGCATGCAAGCAAATTTACTATGTGCACAAAATCAGTTTGTTCCACTTTCTTACTGCAGCAGTAAATGAACCGACTTCTTCTTATAACCACCATCATATTATGAATCTACCTCTTTGCTTGATAGCAAATTATCGACATATCCATTACTTCAATATTTTTATCACAGATACATAAGTTTCGAAACATTGATTAATGCACCATCAGAAAAGAGCATATGTTCATTACCGGTTGAACATGAGAAATATTTGTACAAAACACATGTATCATAAAGCCAGAACAATATACTCACTCATGTCAAATCATAAATCTTGGTATTGGATCTCCCCCTGCCCTACAAAATCAAATGAACTTGGATTAGAAAACTGCTACTATTTGACACGAATTAATCAGCAAACAGTCTAACTTCTTAGCATAAACCCAGTACTGCAGCCTCATATGCTCACCAGATTGATAAAACTGTTCATTACCGGTTGAACATGAGAAATATTTGTACAAAACACATGTATCATAAAGTTATTATTCGAGTTTATTATTCAAATTAATGAAAGACAAAAACATGCACACAAAAGATCAATGGACAATAGAGCAAATTTTAAAAAGGATTTGTGCATGAGCCGGTGAAATCCATTTTTTTGAGCCGGTGAAATCTGTTTTTTTAGGAAAACTCTTCGTATCGTGCCTTTCTGAAACCCACTTACGTGTATGTGTTCTGAACCAGACCGTCGCGCGTCGCGTCTTCTCCAGAACGCTCTTTCCATTCCCCTGGTCTCTCTCTCTCTCTCTCTCTCTCTCTCTCTCTCTCTCACCACCAATGAAGCACACCGCCACCATCATGGATGTCCGCTGCCCCTGTTGTTGGGCTGCAAGCACGCCCTACGCCTCTCACCCTGGCTTCTCCTCTCTATCTCTCTCTTCACGTTTTTTGCAACATGATCTTTGTTGTAATTTTTTTGCAACTATAGTCTTGTTGCAGGAATAGGGATACAGAGAAGATGTCAAAAACGTTGTTGCAAACTTTGCAACAACGATCTTGTTGCAGGAATACAGAGAACAAATCGGAGATGCCCGTAATGCAAAAAAAATATTCGGTCATGTTGCAGTTTATTTTTCTGCAACACGATCTATGTTGCAAAAAAAAAATCCTGCAACACAGCCTATGTTACAAAAAAAAACCGCAACATAATCTGTGTTGCAAATATTTTCCGCAACAAAACCTCTGTTGCAAAGTGGAGGAAAACGTGGGGCTGATCAATTGTGTTAGATCTGACGGCTCGCGAGGCGGCGGATCTTTTTAAAATATCCGCCGGTCGACGCGTAGCAGGCCCCTTTTTTTAGCAACGTGAAATATGTTTACCAGATAAAAGGCGAGGCCCGACGATAAGTCAATGACACCCTCGCAGACCTAAAGGCCACGAGAAACAACACAACACAACATATGGTCACCGTATAGCGACCAAACAAGTACCCCTGAGTTTCGCGGACGCTCACGGCTCGGGGTTCCTATGCGGCGCGTAGGTCGCCGCTAGCGAGTGGGCGCTTACCCCCCAGAACGTCCACAGCTTTTTGGGCCGGCCCATATAGGGATTCGTCCCCACCGGTTTTGGGAAGGTTCTAGAACCTTCCCAAAACCGGTTTTTTCTTGTTTATTTTTACCGGTTTTTTATTTTGTATTACCTTTTTCTTTTTACCTTTTCTGATTAATTTGTTTCTTTTTCTCTTTTCTTTAATGTCCTGTTTCTCTTTTTCTGAAATCGTGAACTATTTTTTTGAAATCTTGAACATTTTTATTTTTTCTCTTTTCTTTAATGTTCTGTTTCTCTTTTTTTTTTGAAATCATGAACATTTTTTCAAATCGTGAACATTTTTCTTGTTCTCTTTTCTTTAATGTTCTGTTTCTCTTTTTTTGAAATCGTGGACATTTTTTTTGAAATCGTGAATATTTTTCTAAAATTGTGCACATTTTCTGAAATCATAATTTGTTTTTGAAATTATAAACATTTTTTGAATAGACTAACATTATTTTTGAAATTGCGAACATTTCTTGATTCCTTGAGAATTTATCATTTCCTGAAAAAAATTCAAATTGTGAACAATTTATGAATTCACGAATAATTGGACAATTTGTAACTTTTTCTGAAATACTAATTATATTTAAAAACAAAATAAAGCTGAAAACAGAAAAAAGGCTAAAAAAACAAGGGGCTCCCCGCCCTACACATGGGCCGGTCCATGATGGCGAGCGGGGGAGCAGGGCTCCCGTGGCTGCGGGCGCGTACCGCGCTGTATAGACGCTCCCCTCATGGCTCCTATTTAGCTCGTAGGTCGCTGGATAGAAACCAGACGTTTGCTACGTCCCATATTCGGCGGCCCAAATAGCCTTGTATGAAAGACTTGCTATTCCGGTTTGGGAAGTTATAGAATTTTCCAGTTTCTGTTCTTTCAAAAAAAAATCTAGTTTTTTTCATTTTAGTTTGTTCTTTTATTTTTATTTTTATTCCATCTCTTCCGTTTGGCAAACATTTATTGAATTCACGTATATTTCTTGAAATAGTGAATATTTTGAATTGGAGAACAATTTTAGAAAATCATGTACATTTTTCTCAAACTTGGAAACATTCTTTCACAAGTCGTGAACAGATGTTGAACTCACGAGTATTTTTTGACTTCGTGAACATATTTTTATTTCACGAATAGTTTTTTGATATTCTTGACAAAATTTCAAAGATTTTTGAAAATTAGTGAACATTGTTTGAACTCACAAACTAAATTTTAAATTCGTGAAAATGATTTTGTTTTTTCACAAAAAAATCAAACTCGTGAAAAATTTATAAGTTCTTGAAATTTTTCATAATTTAGAAAATATTTTTGAAATACGTCAAAAATATTAATTTTGTGAACATTTTTTAATCGATGAACACCTTTAGAAATTTGGGAATTTTTTTTAAATAAGTATGAATATATTTTGAATTATTTAATATTTATCAAATTTTAAAATAATTTTTGCAATTTGTGAATAATTTTCTAATCAACAATGATTTTTTAATCGATGAAAACTTTTTAATTTTTGCAACAATTTTTAGAAAAATCTGAAGTTTTTTTTAGTTTGTTAACATTTTTTAAATTTTGCAAACATATTTTAAATTCATGAAAAAATTATAACTTTGGAAATTTCATAATATTTAGAACATTTTTTCAAAATCATGCCTTTTTAAAAAAAATCCTGAATTTGATTGGAAGCAACAAAATGAAACAAAAGGGAAAAAACAAAAAGGGGGGTCTTACCCGCAAATGGGCCGGCCAAAAATGAAGCGGAGGGGGGGGGTGCGCATCGCGTCTTCTTAGCTTCCACTGCGCGGAATAGGAGCTCCCTTCTCTTCTTATGCCCTCGATGCAGGCTTAGGCGGGTGGGTTGGGGCTACCGACAATGATCCAAGTCAATTCTCATTTTGTTTCTCGATACAGGCTTCCCCTTTCCATCCATTGTTCCCTTCTATCAAGTGAAGCAGGGTGTTTCTTTATTTTTGCGGGTTGCTTCCTCTCCGATGAGTGATCGATGGGCAAAACCGACGTTCTCCCCCCCTCATTCTTCACCACCATGGAGGTGGAAGGAATGGACATGTGCCCCGATATTCCTACCGCTAGAACGGGCCCCTCATTCTTCCGCCAGAACGGGCCCCTCATTCTTCCGCCAGAACGGAACTCCACTGATCTTCACATTCATACCCCAAGCACACCAACCCCGGCGTACATGTTGGCGACCGCGGAGCAATGCGCGTCCAAGCCCAGGGTTGGTGGCAGAGGTGGGAGACGCTTCCTCAGGGGATGGGGAGCAACGGCGACATCTCCGCTGATGAGCTTACCGAGGGCAGGGAAGGTCATGCGAGTTGACCTTTGCGTCGATCTGGTCTACTGCTGCAAAAAGATAGCTCAAAAAACTAGATTAAAAAACATCTATGTGGCACCTAGTCAGCACAAAATGGAGAAAAATGTGGCACATGCGGGTAAAATGTGGTATAAAGTGCATCAATGCATGGGATATAAATTGAGAATTTTTAAAAGATATGTAAAATCTGTCACAAAAGCAAAAAATGGGGTAAAAAATGAATCCTACTCTAATATTTATTACATGTTGCAAAAGATATAAATATTCTAGGACGTTAGATGAAAATTGTAGCAATAAGCGATTATTAAATGAAAATTTATGGTGATTTACCTGCCCAAGTAAAAAATAGAATTTTATTGTATTTGGCAAGGCCTTATTTGCTTGTCAAAGAGAATAATAATTTTATTTGATAAGCCATTAAATGGAGGACAATTAAGTCGATTTTCAGGGAAAACTAATGAAAAAAAGTTAGAGATGTGACAAAAAATCAAAACAAAAAGAGAAAGAAGAAGTAAGGTTGGATGAATGGCGAGGACGACAGAACCTTATTTTTCATTCAAAGAGAGATACTTATATACTCTTGCATCCCTCATACGATAGTTTATAGAAAATGCCGAATCCACTATCTTTTTTTAATACAGAGCAAATGTAGGTGCTTGCATACACGCATACACTCATCCATACAATACACAAATGAACATTCTATCCAACGAGCACCTTTGAAATATTGCGCCAACACAATATTTCTTTAGATTGACGAAGTTATTGCACACGTCTCATAATCGACAGGTCTCCTCTCACTAAATGAACATCGTCAAAAATCCATAGTCACATCAAAGCTTAGCTACGCATGCTAGCATACTAGTACTACTATTAGTCTTCGGAACGGGACAAGGGCACACTAATGAGATTGATCGAGCTAGTAACAGACATGGATGTGGACGCCCAAGTTCAGCAGCAAGCCTTGTTCGTTTGCTTAATTTGCATGCGTCCGGTGAGCAAACACGGCTCGTCGGCCGTGCCCTTTGCTGCGCGTGCTCTCCCAGCCGCCACCGCCCGCCTGGCCGTGGACGCCGTTGCCGGAGAAGCAGCTGCTGAGCTCCCTCATGAACCCGGCACCGCCAGTGCGCGCGCCGGCCGGCAACGCCCTCTTCATCGACGCCGCGGAGGCAGTAGCCTGACGATGATGATGATGATGATGATGATGATGATGGTCGCCGTAGGCCAGCTGCTGCAGCTCCCTGTCGTCCTCGACGATCGTGTCGAGGCTCCTCGGCACCTTCCTCCGCCGCACGACCGACACGAGCTGCGGCGGCGCCACCTCCGTTACGAACCTCGCCCTCACCTGCACCTTCGCCATGACGTCGATCGATCACACCGTAGAGTATCAGTGCGTAGGCCTTGGCGTTGCGTGTGGCCACCCCAGGGCTCATGGCGGGGCGTATTTATACTCGCGCGAGACCAGCTCTATGCCATGGGCCACACGGCAGAGCTAGAAGCGGACGGTGGCGTCGCCGTCGTCGCGGCCTCTCCGACAAGACGGGTCGCACAGGTGTACGGGTCTAGGGGCCATAGCTCGCTCTCCGGCCTCCCATGCACGCACGGTGCCGCGCGCTCGCCGACGCAGCTTTCCGGGAAAAGGCGGGCGTGATGGCGTCATGCATGTCCCGGTCGCGTCGGGCCAGCGTTCAACGTGGAGTTAATGCGGCCCCTGCCGGCTACTGTAGCTAGCAACGCGCATGCCGGAGCGCGCGCCCGCGACGGCGACGGCGGGTCGGCGACGTGTCGCGCGCACGGGCGGCGAAGAGGAACTTATTTCGTTTTCTGTTCATCTTTGCCATGCATGCATTTGTGTGGTTTTGCGGCTGGGGCTGGGTACGTGTACGTTGGCGACGCTCTTGTCCGGCAGGCCGGACGGCCGACGTTGTCCATATACGGCGCTGGAAGAGCGTCTGAGAAGCTCAGCAACGCCGTGCGCAGCCGGGCACGAAGACGGTATACATACACATCTGAGAATTACGTTTTCGTCTCAACTTTTGTCCATATATGGCCGGTGACGAGACGGTGACCACTGGCCGTCGAAAGAGGTGACGCGTGGCCTGAAAATTGTAGGAAGGAAAAAGAGCAGAGACTGAGTCCACTTATGCTCAATCAAATCATTTTGAAATTGACTACGAGTTACACGATCACGTATTTTAAGATTAAATTGAATGAACTGTACAAACGTTGCCACTCCACTCTCAGGCTCAACATTTTCACTATGGTAATCCCACCCTAAAAAAATATTGTCATCACGCTTATCCTCTACGATCATGTTGTGCACTCTTTTCCTAGCACTCTCTTGTTCTTCGGCAAACCTACCCCTCCTCTCTCCTTGGGGTTCAGCTAGGTAGTATCCCTTATTGTGTTGGCGGCAAGTGATGTTATACTTGACCTATGGGTCGTTGCTTTCCGAAAGCCTCGAGAACACCGGAGAGCACTGAAGCACGTTGATGTCATTATGAGAACCTACCATGTCAAAAAAAGGGTGCCAAATCAAGAGATCTTATGATGCCAAAACTTCAAGTATAGCCGTGCAACCATCGACATGTCCCTTATATTGCCCCTGCCAAGCAAATGGAGAATTCTTCCATTCTCAGTACATACAATCTATGCCTCCAACCGTGGAGGTGGTGGTGGTGTGCGGAAGGGCGGCGACGCCCCTTGGTAGGGTACGGTCCGCGAGCTACACCATCTGCGGCAAAAAGTGGAGCAACGTCGACGGTGGATGCGGTGCCGGATGGGTGGGGTGCCGGAGGTGGCGAAGAGGCCGGAAGCTGGGTGGTGGCGGCTACGACGACGAGGCTGGGGAGCCCAAGCTCATTTTGGGAGGGGGTTGGAATGGCATGTGTGCCACCAACAAGCGGGTCAGTGGAGGACAAGAGAAGGACGTTGCGGGCGTTCGAGGAGTGTTTTCGCGCGGATCCAAAACCAGACCAAATTTGTGCTGGAAATAGGTCGAAGTGGACATGAAAACGAGCATCCATCCATTTGTGTTGGTGCATTGGGCCGTGTTTCTGGTCCGCATGGATCAAAACGGACGCTGGCGAATGAAATGTGTTAGCCCTTTGGAGTTGCGCTTGTGCGTGCATGCCGTTGCGAGCAGCCTCAAGGTTCTCAAAAATTGTTAAAGAAAATAGAGTGAATTTCAGTTTTAACCTCCACTACTTGTGTGCTTGTGCGACATATTTGTAAACCTTTTAAACAATGCCGTTCAAGATCACTTATGGTGCCAAGGCCTCGTGGTTAATAGAAACATTGGCTCCCATTGAAGAGCATGGCCTGAAAGTATAGGATAAATCATGACAAAATGACCACCAGCATCAAGTCTAAGATTTGAATCCGGGAAAGTGGTTCCTTCACAAGAAATCTAACCAATTAAGTTCTCATAAGTACAAATGACATGCACATAAAGGTAATGTTTTTCTGAATATTTTGATATTTTATTTGCATTTTTATGAGCTCATATGAAATTTTTAATGAATTTTTGAAGTATTGTTCAAACAATCAAATAGCACACAGACAACCCCAGAGACAAAACAAAGGGCAAAACTGAGCAGAGCAAAAAAAAATTAAGGGCAAAACCCACAGGCTGACACAACTAGGGGCAAAAGTGTAATTCTCCTTTTTTTATTTGACTCTCATCTATCACTGAACCCATGCTTCCTCGAGCAACCGCAAAGATGAGCATGTGATTTTAAATCCTTGAGAAAAACATGAAGAAGCCCAGACCATGGAATTGCGGCAGAACATATATAACACATGATTTTCTGCATTAGCCTATTAGCATTCTGCATTAACCTTAAGATACTGCATTGCAGTAAAAAAACCTCCTTATTTGGAGCTAGGATGCACCAAACGGGTTTATTTGCGAGAGATACAAAAAAACTAAGCTTAGTTTTCTCAAAGGACTAAAAACAAAGCAAGCTCATTTTTCACGAAGGACGACATACATAATAGTCAGATTGATATTACTTTGTGTCTTCAACATACTTCAGTGTCATGCATATTCCTTTCGGAGCACATATTATAAGACAATAAGAGATATTAATTATTTATGGTTGAATTTCCCTTCAAGTATAACTCTAATCTATCCTGCAACATCATGAGTTCTGCGCAAGTTCAGTTGAAGACACAATGTTGCAAGCCGCAGAAGATATATGCCATTACCATCATTTTGAAGACACAATGTTTCCAGAGATATTTCACCTCTTTTCCATAATTAATCCGTGTTTATGAAAAAAATGATGGAAGGATGGACCTGATACACAAAATGGGACATTATTTTGCAAGTGCTGAACTAACCAAACCTTATGAATACACTACGAAGCAACTTTTGCAAATATAGAGCCAAAAATGGTACAAATAATACACTGACCAACCATCTGACTAAATACTTCATGAAAGTTCTTTGAAAATTGACATTTGGAATTTGGATAGTATAGTTTAAAGAGAAGCAACATCTACCATTAACATGAGAATTTACACATTCTTTTCCAAAAAAAATAAGACCATGTATATTGTGCCCTGCACACAAAAACAAATCGTGCAACGTGCATACTACAGCAAGTTTTCACATGAACAAATTTTTAGTGCATGATTACATGATAGAAACACAAGTGTGGTAAACTTAATGCAAGCCTCATATGCACGGGCGTACGTACATGTGTCGACATCTCCTTCACAACTCGATGCACACATGATAGATTGTAACCCTTTGGGGGTTAAAAATAGGCCAAAATATGAATTACTTGTTGAATAAGAGATAAATTACCATTTTCAGTGTACCTTCATGAGGTGTGAGCCCAACCGTACTAATAAATGAGCCCAACCGTACTAATAAATGAGCCCATTTGCTGCCTTTTTTTTCTGGCCTGGGCGGCCATCTAGGCCCATGCGATCACCGGTCCCACTTGCAGACACTGCTTCAGCCTCCGCATTAAACCCTAGTACCCGGCATCCGCCGCCGTCGCATATAACCTCTCCCGCTAATACCTTTCTCACACTTAACGAAACTCCGGCGGCGGCGGCGGCGAGCTCGCGACCTGAAGCACAAGGAGAAGGCGCCTCGATCCCTCGTCGCCTCGGTCCACCATGGTATGCCTTCGCCTCCGTCGCCCCTCACCTGGCATTTCCATGGCTGTCGAGTTCGCGCGACGGATTCGCTGTGCGGACGCTAGTTCAGTTAGGGGAATCCGGCAAGATGTGCAGCTGCAGTTTGTGATCTAAGGCGTTCTGCCATTTTTATGGAACTTTTGCAGTATCATTCAGTGCTGGCGTATGATGGAACTGGCTGGCTGTAGCTCTGCGATTTAGGTGCCTAGAGAGTAGAGACTGGAACTGTAACCTGGTGCTTTGATTTTTTAACAGCTGAACGTATTCGAGAAAAAGAACAGCTGAACTGGTAGAGAGATTTCAAGTTCGATCTGGATGAAGGGTTTCTGTGTTTTGTAGGTGATGATCTTAGTGGCGAACTGTTTGCCTGTGTTCCAAATGATTTGGGGCGCTCATATTGGCAGGGGTTAAATCTGGTTTTCGTTCACAAACATTCCCAAGAGCCACAGTCTTTTACTAATTCATTTATACACACTTGCCGTTCACACTTAGATGATTACTGAAGAGGCTAAGATTTAACTTAAACTCATTTGACATTCCTTTTGTTTACTTGCTGAGAAGAATACTGCATTGGTAGATTTTGAAAGAATTCTCAGTATGCTGCTCTGATTAGTTACATATTGTCTGCTCATACGCATTTCCACTCTAGTTTTTGTTGTCATCATGCTACAACATGACAAGTTTTGGCATGAAATTAGTTACACTCAACTTGGGATATAGTAGTGTAAGTGAATACAATTTTGCAGTTAATACCTTTTCCATTTAGTTGATGTGAGTTCTGCATTTGGCAGGTTGTAGAAACAATTCTTAGTATGCTCCGTTGATTAGTTACATTACATGTTCAACTTTCTGTTATGCAGTTTCCACTTAGTTTTAGCTGTCATTGTGCAACTGCATGACAGGTTATTGCACGCAATTTGTTATACCCAACTTGGAATGTTGCTACTGTGACAGTGAAATTTAATTCAATGTTGTTATGCAATTATGTCAAGTATGTACTCAGCTAAATCTGATTTGCCTTGCTAGTCGAAGAGGAAAACCAGGGAGCCTAAGGAGGAGAATGTTACTCTTGGACCTGCTGTCCGTGAAGGGGAGCATGTCTTCGGAGTTGCTCATGTCTTTGCATCATTCAATGACACATTCATCGTATGTACTGGTTTGCCTATTACATGCTTTATTATGGTTGTCACCGTCATGTGCTGTTCGGTTTCTTACTGGTGTTAGCCTCCATCTGCAGCACGTCACTGACTTGTCCGGGAGAGAGACCCTTGTTCGTATCACTGGTATGCTCCATACTTAAATTTTCTTTTCGTGATCTAGCTATATTTTTTATGGTTTAAAAGTAAATTTGATTGTCCCATAATCAATGCAGGTGGAATGAAGGTCAAGGCTGATCGTGACGAGTCATCACCATATGCAGCTATGCTTGCTTCTCAAGATGTGGCGACACGTTGCAAGGTTTGTATGGGCTTTCATTGGACTATTTTCTGTTCAGGTGCCTACATCCAGGATTCTTATATGTTTTCCACTCGCGCTTCCAGGAGCTCGGCATCACTGCTTTGCACATTAAGCTCCGTGCCACTGGAGGCAACAAGACCAAGACTCCTGGACCTGGTGCTCAATCCGCTCTCAGGGCACTCGCTCGTTCTGGCATGAAAATTGGACGCATTGGTAAATTCTGACTTCCCGCCGCATATATGCAAATGAAGAACACATATCTTGTTACTTTGCTGTTTCATTGTGGTCTCGTCCTTATTGGGCATAGAACTAATAATTGTATGTCTGATTCTCTTTGCAGAGGACGTGACCCCCGTTCCCACTGACAGCACCCGCAGAAAGGGTGGTAGGAGAGGAAGGAGGCTGTAGACGCCTTCTTTTTCATCGTCTCTCATGGCCGTGATCGAGAATTCGGTGTTCGAATAGCCTTATAGATCCTATGTAGTTGCCGATCAGTTTACTCCAAGTTCGGATTTGTTTACTGTCAGTTTCAGAGCTGTGCTTCGCTTCAGACCATCTCTGATCGTGTATTTATGCAAAAAATATTCTAGTCCGAACATGCCTTATTATGGTTTCTGATAATATGGTTGGCTCTTATTAGTAATATATCTGATAATATGTTGTGCTGGAATGCCAATGCTGAGTGCTATCTCATTCAGGAACCATCATATTGCATTTGTCATTGACCATAACGGAAAAGAATCTGAGCAGAGAGACACATTGCCCTCTGAAAAGGAGCAAATAGTTTCCCGGCTTTGAAAAGGAGCAGTGAAAGATAGGTTTGGAAAGCAGTACTAGAAAGCAAGCATGGCGTATCCAAACAATGCCGCGAACGAGCCGGCGAGGCCTGCCACCGTGAGGCCGGCGCCGCTGGCGGCTCCAGGAGGCGCGTCCTTGGCCGGCGTTGAGTTACCCGCCGGAGCATTTGGGGCTGCTGGGGAGTTTGGCGGGGCGCCACCTGAGGGAGAAGACGGCGGGGTCGTTGCTGTTGCTGCGGGTGACCCCTGGCTGGGCGTGGGAGCGCCCTTGGCGGCGGCGGCGACCATGACGATGAGCTTCTCGTTGGCGCGGCAGTTGGCGTCGACGCCGCTGATGAAGAAGAAGGCGCCGGCGCGGTCGAGGTCGAAGACGGTGTTGCCGTCGGTGAACTGCTTGTCGTACGTGTTGGTGTTGCAAGCGTTGTAGTCGGCCGGCGCCACCAGCAGCACCGAGTCCTTGTCCTTGGGGTACACGAACACTGCACACGCAACGCATGCATGCATGAATCACACACACACACACACATCAAAATCACGTCGCCGAGATGCAAAATGAAAGGTGGTCGTGCGGTTACGTACCGAGCTGGTCGCCGACCTGGAAGGTGGTCTTCTCGGCCCAGGTGTTGTAGGACTCGGCGCCGGCGCCGGGCACGCCCCAGCCGTTGTCGCCGCCGACGTTGTACTGCGCCGCGCCGGCCACCGCCGCCATGAGGGCGGCGCAGGCGAGCACCAGGCCACAAGATCTACGGCTCGACATTGCTAGCTAGTACAAAGTAGAAACTGCACTCTCGATGATGCTTGTATTGGTCGATGGGTATAGGCGGCCGGGGTACGTACGTATTTGTAGTCGTAGGCACATGCATGCCGCGTACGTGAGCTGATCGAGCAGGCCGGCTTTACACGCTGTGGGTGCCTTGCTTTTGGCGGTCGCCTCAAGCTACGTACTACTACGTAGAGGAGGAGGCATGCACGTGCCGGTGGTCTGTCTCCTTTTTCGTGCGGCGCGCCCCTGTGCCACCCCATTGCGACTGCGTGCGTGCATGCGTGCGTGCTGTGTGCCTTTCGAATCGATGCTTTGCCGGTTGCACTTGCACCCGGAATATCGGCGTCGTGGCTTAGCTTGTGAACGTTGGGATCCACGCGACGTGATGGCTGGCTGGTGCCATTGGTCGGGTCAGGTGCAACGGTCTGTACTTTTGCACCCTGGGCTAGCGGTGACTTGGTGATTGATGTATAGTAGGAGAAGATCAACGCACATCTACACAAGACAGATCGATCTACCAAAGCTGTTTACACTCTTTAATTTGAAAGAAGAATAACACTTTTGACTTACAAGAGGCATAATGACTCTAATCCTTTTCCCTTCATTTTTAAACAGCAAGGAATGTCTTTCCAGCTTTTTCATAGGTCACTGTGTTTTCATATATTTTCCGGTTTTCGACTAGCTTTTGCTAAATCTTAGTAATTGCCTACTATTCGAAAAAAGTTCTCAGCGACTTACAGTTGCACACTACTAAATTCGAAATAGCAAACGTTTGTGAAACTCCAGTTGCATGTTACTGTAAAATTATGTCTATGAGTTTTAAATGGAGTGATATGAAAATAAGAACAATAAGGTGTTGATCACCTACCCCTCTTGGCGGCGGACAGGGCGCAACGGCGGGGAGGTATTGATCGGGGGCAACCTGTGATGGAGGTGTTGGAGGGTTGCTGTGTGACGGTGAAGGTGATGTGTGCTCGAGTGGTGGCCTTCGTCAGCGGTCGTGACTACAACATTGGTGAATCCGACGGCGGTCGGATGGATTCAGTGCGGCGATCCCAGTCTGGCTGGAGCCATGGAGGAGAGATCGTCAGGGCATGGTTCTGGACGGTGGCAAGCTCAACATCAGATCTGGATCTGTCATACATTGGCATGGGTGAACTTTTCATGTTTTCTTTACGAATTCTTCATGCTTTGTTTGGGTTTGTTTCATTTGGAGCGGTGAAGCGGTGGCGCTGTCTCAACGTAGGAATAATGTTCTCTCCCGCCCTATTCTCGTTCGTTTGGTGTGTTCTTCGCCGGCGAAGGGCGTGTGAGCTATGTATCTTGGTTGGTCTAGGTTCCTAGTGAATTTGTTTGGATTCGTCCGGCTTTCGAGATCTTTGGAGTTTCTACAGGCCCTTATTGGCAGGGTTTTTCTTCCCTCCAGGGCGGTGATTTGCTTCGCAGCTCATGGCTGTCGCGTCTCCTAGATGCATGGACGACTTCCTAGCCGCTGCTTCTACAAGCTCCCGATTTTTAAAAAGTTTGCTCCACCATGGTAGAGACCTAGAGGCGGCATCGGGCTATGCTCACGACACGCCGCAGGTGGGCATAGGAGGAAGAAGACTTAGGCACCCCACGAATTTGAATGTAATTCCATTTTACTGTAAGGGTCTGTTTGTAAGGACCTATGCTACTTAATATATGCCCCTAGACCTTTTTCGCAAGAAAAAATAGATTATATCCGCAGAATAAACAAAGTTTTCTTTTATCTTCCTAATGTAAAAGAAGTTCGGATAAACCAAAATCCTAGTTAAAATGGGAAAATCAAGATGCACACCTATTTTGCTATGACTAGACCATGGTGAGCCCTGACGTCGTGGGTTATCTTTTTTTAGAGAAGCTGACACCTGGAATTGATGTTGGACGCCAATAACCATCACACGTGTGGCGGAAGCAACACCCGACCACACGCTCCATGACCACGGATTGCGCCACGTCACAGCATACATGCACAAGTGACGAAACTGATGATGTCAGGAGGAACCTTTCGGGTTTTTAGTTTTTAAAATGTTTTATCTCTTAAATAAAAAATCCGATTAAAATCCGTTTTCACCATTAAATCCGCCACGGCGAGATATTCGAAACTAGATCCCATATCGATATGTTTTGACGACTTTATTTTTGTTAAAAGTTGCCATGTATATTGCACATAAATTGTCATGGTGTTTACACTGAAGTTGCCATGATCTATTTCAACTACTTTTTCTTCTATGTTTAAAGTAAATTTTGACATGTTGTAAAACGGAGAATTAAGAAACTAAACTTGCCATTGTGAATTACTAAAATTTGCCATAATCCATGAAATAACTTTGACATGGTTCATAATTAAAAAGAAATCAGTTGTCAGATACTTTAAAAATGCATGGTCAATGACTCAAATTTGCCATGAATCATAAACTAAAATTGACCTGGTGAATTACTTAAATTTACCATGATACATGCACTAAATTTTGCAATGGTTCATACAAAAAATAATTTCCATGTTCAAAAATATGAAAATTGCCATGATCTATAAACTAAAATTGCCATAATCTATAAACTAAATTTGCCATGATGATTTACTAAAAATTGCCATGACCCATGAATTAAATTTGCCATGGTTAATTACAAAAATTCCATGGTTAATTAATAAAATTGGCCATGAAAAGTAGTTAAAAATACAATGGTAGCTCTAAATGTAGAAGAAAAAATAGATGAAATGAAACATATAATGGCAACTTTAGTTTAAACTCTATGGCAATTACAGTGTATGCAACATGGCAACTTTTGGCAACAAAAAAAGTCGACGAAACATATCAATATGAGATCTAGTTTTGAAGATCTCGTTGAGACAAATTTAATGGTGAAAACATATTTTTAATCGGATTTTTATTTAGAAGATAAAACATTTTTAAGTCTGAAAAACTAAAAAGATTCTGCTAATGTCATCTGTTTGATGTGGCAAGATGAATGGTAATGAGCATGTTTGGACCATATTACTTCATGCCATACACGTGTCACTTGTCATTTGAGTATGATGTTTCGTTTTTGCGCTTATAGCGCTGCTTACAGCGTTATCAGTAGAAGGTGCATATCCCCCTCCCTCGATCAATTCTCTTATGGGCTGGCCTGTGGAAGGCACTCACGGCAAGTTCCCTTTCCCAGCCATGGGAAGCTTCTAGAAGCTTCCTAGGTCATTATTGGGAAGCTTCTAGAAGCTTTTGATCGCCTATTCTTTTTTGGTTTTGGTTTTTCTGGATCAATTTTTGTTGTTTTATTTTTCCTTATTCACCTTTTGTATTTTTTAAAGAAAATTCAAATGCGTGCATTTTCAGAATTCAAAATATTTTTTCAAATCTGTGAAGTAAGTCCTAATCCATGATTTAAAAAAATCATGAACCTTTTTTCAAAACATGTGAACTCTTTTTTGAATCCGTGATTTTTCGAACACATAAATATATTTCAAGCCCATTAACTTTAATCGAAATTGTGATTATTTTTTTCAAAATGCTTGAATTTTCAAAGCTGTGAACTTTTTTTTGCAAAATCCATGATTTATTTTTCAAATTCATGAACTTTTTTGTAATTTTAAACATTTTCATATTAGTGAACTTTTTTGCAAATATAGGAAGATTTTTTAATCCATGATTTTTTATCAAGTTTATTTTTTTATGAATTTTCCATATTCATTTTTTTCAAAAATCAAATGGTCAACTTGGCCGGTCAACAGTTGACAGGTCAACCATAGACAAATCAAAGCGAACAAAGGAGACATTCGCATCGAGCGACTAGGTCTCGTCGTTGTTGCTGCGCCAGCCCCAGGTGGG